CATAGCCCATTAGTTTCTTTTGACTTGCTGCAACGTTAAAGATTCTTACCGTATATCGAGAGAATGCGAAGTAACGTAGAACATGTCATGCGTGTCGGGAAGTTTAGGACCACGTGGATAAAAGCGAATACGATATCGATGACGTAAATTTTCCGCTATAGGAGAGGTTTTCTGAAACGATTAAGAGTTAAATGAAACAACTGAATAAACCAGTACCTTAATTTCCTCCTGAATTTCTTCGACCGGAAGCGGCTATAAAACTACAGACATAAATTTGAACGAAACTAAAGAACTTGAAAGCGTTTAAAAATAATCGCAACTAAGTATTTAGAAATATTTAAACCACTGAAAAACATAATCAAAAAATAATGGTTGTATATATCTAAAAGATATAAAAGTAACTGTATCTTTCAGGTTACCAAAATTCTCTGCGGATAATTTGTATTATATTTCAAAATAGATTTCAACCACTGGCGATAGGGAGGCTAGCAGTACTGGTAACTAAGTCAGATGACGACTATCGAAAGGATCACCTGCCCGAATATTTCACGCAATAAATATTTATAGAATTACCTATTATAATCAAGCGGTGTATTAGTTTATACAGTATCTTTGTGACTGGCAAATCTGCGCATTGCCTAGCATAATGACTATACAAATACACCGGAAAAATGCTCTACGCATGATCTTGAAACACTTTCTATTTTCATTTTTCTTCATTAATTTTAAACGAAAGCAAAAAAACATGATACTCTTAAACTGTCAATGCCGTTATTTCAGACAAACTACATTCGACATCTTCAGGAAAAATAGCATGACTTGCCTGTAGTTTGTTTTGAGGAAAACCTATATAGTTTTACTAGAAACAGGGCCTTTGTCGCAGCAATCAGCACCGCCTAAATTATTCTGAGGAGCCAAAGCATCAAACATCATTAATTTGGGTACTCCGTTTTTGACTCTGATTCCTCAGATGATGATGACAACAACAACAATGCAATTTGGCTGAAATATCGGCATTTACAGTTTAAAACTACCAAATGTTTTTAACGGTGAATTAACAGTGTCTATCGTTCTGCGCATTTAAAGTTATAAGTCTGTGTGCAGAATAAAGAAAAACCAGTAAATATGGCATGTCGACGAAATTTTTACGAAACAGTTTTCAAAATAAAAGGAAAAGAACAGCAATTTTCGGGCTATGAGTACACTTGATTCGTCAAGTTAGTTATTAACCATTAGTAGATAAGAAGCTCTTGTTCGCTAGCGAAAAACTCATGATTCTTGATGGCTACTAACTTCAAAAAGATATAAACGGAATATTAATGATTATGGATAAATAAAGAGTAAGTAGAAGCCCAGAAAAATGTATTCATTAAGTGAAGCTTTCAAAAAGCACAACGGTGTTCCTTCGTCACGTTTTAATAACGTACAGAGGAGACATCATAGTCACGGACAACAAAGGTCATCAGCTAAATAACTAAAGAACTATAATGAAGAATAAGAGCATTAACAAGAAATCATGTAAGTTAAAGAGAATGAAAAGCATTAGAAACAAAAGTCAACTATGTAAAAAGATGGCTGCCTGACAGTAAAAACTAAATTATAAAGTTGATAATAATAACTCAGTTTGGACTCTCTGAGAGCAATTTTGTTTTTACCATCGAAGATCCTCTTATGTCTTCTTTTCTCGTTTATCTCGCCCTTAAGCCCCTTTCTTCTTGCATTCTTTGCACCTTTTTCTCTTGATTATGCTATATTTTTCGTTAAAATGTTTGGTTTAATTATCTACTCGCTGTGATAATTACTGTATCATTACTACTGTCTCTGTCGACGATATCTTTTCCGTATATTATTAATTTGTGCTAAGCAAAAATAACGTTGCAGTCCTTGAAAACTTCACGCAAATATACTTTTGCACACGCTTATAACTGTTTCTTTCTTTATCTGTCCTCCGAGACCATTTTCGCTCTTTCCCATAAAGAATTTTTAAACAGCTGGAACGATAGGGCGAATAAGAACAATGAGCACATTTAAAAAAGATACCATAGTCAAGTGCTTCATTTCGTGTACAGCGCACACCATCTACGATGCCATTTCTAGCTGACAGCACGCAGCATTTTTCAAGCATATGATCTCAAATCTTACGTGCTTCATAAAGTTCGTACTAAGTCTCATCTCAATGAAAAGTAATGGTTTCGTGATCTCAAATCGTGCTGTAAAATTCTGATATGCCCGACAACGGAAAAAGACGCCAACTAGTTCTTAGAGCGAACAAAGAAAATCTACGACAAAAAAGAATCCAATTCACTTGTTCACAGAACGCCAGTATTGTCTGCCGGGTAGTATCTGTCGAGTAGGTGTCAGGGAACTGCCACACGTGCTACTCGACGTCAACAGTAAAGATATAACAACTAGATGCTTGTTTTTCTCTTGGGCGGTTTCAAGGTTGGTCGAAAGCTTCGTGATGATGTACAGGCCAGTAGGAGTTTGGCTCGTAGTATTACCACAAGAAAATGAAAGCTGAAACATTTTGGAAAAACCCCGTCATTAGGAGATTGATTTTGTTGCGACAACAGTGCTTATGAACAATAGAGAAGACCCTATTACGCTGTTTGGCGAGTCAGTGCCTTTCCATTTGCCTGAATCGTATGCTCTGGTATTCAAACATGTGCCATAAGGCAAAAGACGAACTTTCATTTTCCTTCTCTTTGCATTACAGTTAGGGCCACATCATCATAATTCGAAGTTTACGCTAGAAAGCAACTGAAGGGCACCACTCGAAGCTTTATGGACTTCCGCTGTACGACTACTGAGTTTGTAGAAAATTGCTAGGATCTAGTAGCCAGTGACTGAATCAGACAAATAACAAGGTGTTACCTCCCGGCGAAGGTTCGGTGGTTACAGTGATTCTGGAGTTAAAGACGGCAGCACTTCACAAAGACTGTCTGACAAATGACAGCTATAAGCTGAATCTCGAGTACGAATTAAAATTTTAGGCTAAGTTGTTTCATTTCATCAAGGAAACTCTCCGAAAGTACGGCAAATAGAAAACTTGTGAACCAACAAACATGGAACAGAACGACCTAGGAAACCTTGGTAAGGGGAACGTGTCTAATGATATCGGGAAGTTAGGCTTTCGCATCGTCGTAAAAGAACAGCAGAAAAAATAAACGCGAAACATGCAACGCAGAAGAAATAGTAAACAGCAGCTGTACCTTGCTATGTTCGTAAGGAAATCTTTTCGCAGGATGCCAGGCGACGAGTATTCCTTTGGCAAGACACAGACCGCTACTAAATGTCAACATTAACAAATGAATAGCAAAAATTTCAAAACTTTACGAGGCTGATTTCGAAGAAGTAAACAGGCAGCTGATCCGGGGTATCAGACCTAAATTTAATTGAAAAATTGATTAACTGATCGTCAGGGTGTAATTTAAAGATGTAGTTAATTAGCAGTGAAACACAAAGCATAGAAAATAGCAAAGTTCAAAAAAGAATTAAAGGAGATAAATCGTTCAGTTATTTTGAGCTTCATTTCAGAAATTCAATTCAGGGCCTTGGGGCTGACTGACGTTCGATCGACTTTCAAGCAATAAAGGATTTAAAT